CTTCGCTTTATCGCAAATCCGGGTACGGCTCTACCGCCCCCCGAGCATCTGGTCCTTCGAGCCGGATTATCATATCTTCGCGATTAGTCTATTACCGCCGACCTTTCGCGTGTCCTTTCATTGTTCTAAGTCACCGAATCTTTCTGTAACGCGTAGTGCAATAGCACGTGACCTTGCGGGTCTCGCAGGATCTCCCGTATCGCAACGCTCGCTTCGCGAAGGGAATTCTCGCGTAGCATCGCGCAATCGGCCATTAGCCGCCTGTAATTTACGCGAATTCGCTGAATTTCTTATTCTCGCATTAACGAGGTGCAATAACGCTCGGCGTGCTGACAACTCGTGTCTCGCGCGGTATCTCTCGTGCAACGCTAGCTTCGCAACGGGAATACGCGTGCGAACTTCGTTCGTCATAGCTCGGGCCGCAGCCGTTAATCGCCTTAAAATCGAATCCGCGCTCGCCGCGGTAATTAGTCGCCATTTAATTGACTTGATCGTAACCGAAATATTCGGTCGAATATCCGAGTATTCCGGGCCAGCGATACTTTCGCGCATAGAGACAACGGCCGTGGCCTTCGATTACGGGCCGGTCTCGCGCGCGTTGTTTTTCTGTATAGTCTCGAGCATCGCTCGTGTTTACGTCGTTGCGAGGTACGTACCGCCCGACCCAGCACTTGTATTATCTCGACATTCGTGATCCGTCCGAGAGTACCATCGCTCGAAAATATTATTGTCACCGATCGAGAATATTTGCCTTTCGAACTCTGCGACGCGTGTTTATCGCGCTAATCCAACGGCTGATATTCTCCGCGTTCAACTCGAGGAATATTATCGAGAATATTCCCTCGGGACTTGCGCGAGCGCCGAACGGAGCCGTCCGTTACCCCTCACCTTGGCGACCTGACTTTCGTGATTGTTTTCGCCGGGTTTCGATATTGTTGGTTCGAGTTGCCGTCGCCTCCGACTGCCTATTCGTCGTTTACCCTTCGCTCTTAGCTTCGTCTGTCTGTGGTGGACGACCCCTTTGTTACATCATGTCGAAAAACGCATATGCTCGTCGCAAAGTATGCAATCGGCGTATGCAAGAAATACACGACCTCTCCCTACAAGCCGCGACCGACGCGGCAATACGAGCGACCTTCCTCGCTCGCTACTCGAGCGTAGCGAAGATCGCGGACGATTTTGAGGCCACCCACCTGAAGGTCATCCAAGAAGCGGCGAATTTCGAGGTCGAGGACGAAATCCGAGCCAGTTTCGATAAAATGCATTACGCCGTAAAGAGTTGATATCACCGTGAAACGGGCGCGCCATTCGGAGGCGCGCCGGCACAGCCCTCGGGTCAGGCCTCGGTGGTCAAGTTGCCTAAGATCCCGCTACCGCAGTTTTCCGGCGACCTTACGTTGTGGCCTTCCTTCATCGCGTTGTTCAACGCGTCGATACACAACCAGCAGATTTCCGCGATAGAGAAATACCAGTATCTGCTGGCTTCACTCAAAGGGGAACCACTCAACGTGGTGAAAAACCTGCCGTTTTCTGATGAGTACTATCTGATCGCTTACGACTCGCTGGTCGATCGATACCGGAATAAGAGAAGGTTAGCGGACCATCACTTGAATTCGATAATCGAAGCAAAGCCATTGAAGGCGGAGACGGCCGAGGCTCTTCACCACTTATTAGATACGTTTACCGAGAACACGCGCGCGCTCGCATTGATGAAGTTCCCTACCGATTCATGGGACTTTATCCTACTGAGGTTTTTGTTAGACAAGCTTCCTCGTTCCCTTCGGGAAAAATTCGAGTCGGCTCACCGGGCTGAGGAGATACCGCGATATACACAACTCACGAAATTTCTAGCGGAGCATTGTCAGGTTCTCGAGGCCGTCGCGGGCCCGTCCTCCAAAACCAAGTCCACACCGGTCTCTTCGTTCGTGACTAACGCGGCCGATTGCCCCGTTTGTAAGGAGTCTCACTACGTGTCGAAGTGCTCCCAGTTTTTAAAACTCTTGCCGAGGGAGAGGCAGGCTAAGGCTCGCGACTTGAGATTGTGCCTCAACTGCCTGCGCTCGGGGCATGGCATGAAAGACTGTCCGTCCGCGTGGGCATGTCGGTCCTGCGGCACAAAGCATCATACGCTTCTGCATTACGAGCAGAGCTCTAATACTACCCCTAAGCCCGAACCCATTAGCGCGACTCCTGCCGAACCGGACGCCGTACCCGCTCCTCAGTCGGAGGATGCGCCAATTGTAACAATGACTAGCCTGGCCAATAGAATCGTCCTCCTGTCCACCGTACGAGCCGAGGCGATAGACGCGCGTGGCAATGCGTTCCCCGTACACATATTGCTGGACAGCGCGAGTCAGGCCAACTTTATTACCGAGGGCTGCCTCCGGAAGGGCGGCTTTCGTCGCACCAAACACAGTGCAACCGTGTTGGCGATAAACGAAGCCAGGGCGGCCACGACGAGGGGCCTCACCTCTCTCGTGATCCGCGGGCGCGGTCGCGACGACACTCGGTTCTCGATAGAGGCTACGGTCCTCTCGCGCATAACCTCGCCGCTGCCTAATGACAAGGTGGAGGTCCAGCCGTGGAAACACTTGAAGGGATTGCCGCTCGCGGATCCCGAATATTTCGTGCCCGGCGGTGTTGACATCCTCCTGGGGGCGGACTCGTTTGTGTCGGTGCTACGGGAGGGCCGTCGTAAGGGGGAAAGGGGAGAACCCGACGCCTTCAATTCAGTCTTCGGATGGGTTCTGACGGGCGCGGTATCCCCATCAGTCCAGGCAGCGCCCCTGAGGTCATTCGCGACTGCGCTCGAGTCGATCGCGACATCGGTGGGTCGCTTTTGGCAATTGGAGGAGGTGCCGGAGGACGCTTCTTGTTCGGACGAGGATCGACGCTGCAAAGAAATCTTCGCCAAGACCACGTATCGTGACCCCTCGGGTCGTTTCGTGGTCTCGTACCCGTTCGTGTCGGATCCTCCTACATTCGTCGGCTCGCGCTCCATTGCGGTTAGTCGTCTCCGCGCACTAAAACGTCGATTTAAATCTGATCCGGAGTTCAGAGCTGGTTACAATAGTTTCATGCGGGACTATCTCGATAGCGGACACATGGAGGTAATTCGCAATCCATTCCCGTCGGATGGCCACATTTATTATCTACCGCACCACGGTGTGTATAAACTCGATAGCACTACCACTAAGTTGCGGGTAGTGTTCAACGCGTCATCGCGAGGCCCGGACGGTCTGTCGATCAACGACACCCTGCTCAGCGGTCCGAAGCTGCAGCAGGACCTGCTCGCCATCCTGCTTCGGTTCCGCGCCGAAGCGATCGCTCTAACCGCGGACGTGAAGCAGATGTTTCGCCAGATTTGGATAAGCCCGGAGCAGTGCAACTACCAACGTATCGTCTGGCGCTTCTCGGAGTCGGACCCCATCTTCGACTATCTCCTCAAAACAGTTACATTCGGCTTTAGCGCCTCCCCGTTCTTGGCGATCTATTGTTTGCTCCAGTTAGCTCATCAATACCGCGAGAAATATCCTCTAGCGTTCGCAGCCCTACTCGAGGCGCTGTATGTGGATGACGTCGTGACAAGCGTTCGGACGGTGGAACAGGCTCGCGCACTCCGCGACCAATTGCTATCGCTTCTCCGAAGCGCCGGCTTCGAGCTTCGAAAGTGGTCGAGCAGCCATCCTGCCGCGCTGGAGGGCCTCGACCCGCAGTTATGTAGCCAATCGATGTTAGATTTCGAGTCAAGCGAGGATCAATCTCAGAAGATATTGGGCCTTCGGTGGCACTCACAATCTGACATTTTCGGGTTTCAAGTCAACGCGTTGGATCGTGAGTGCACCAAACGCACTATACTGTCGGAAGTAGCGCGCATATTCGACCCCCTGGGTTTTCTGGCCCCACTCACCTTTACCGCGAAGTGCTTAAGTCAGCGTCTGTGGACCCTCAAGTTAGATTGGGATGATGAGCCTCCGATGGACATTCGTCGCAGTTGGAGTCGTTTCCAGACGGAGCTCGGCGTGTTATCTTCCCTTCGCGTTCCTCGCGCGTTTAACTTGTGCCATGTAGATCGCTGCGAACTCCACGGGTTCTGCGATGCCAGCGAGCTGGGGTACGGAGCCGTGATTTATCTGCGAATCGTTACGCGCGACGGCGTCGGGGTCCGATTACTGTGCGCCAAGTCTAAGGTCGCCCCGCTTCGCCCCCTCACCATTCCCCGTCTGGAGCTCTGCGCGGCTCTGCTCTTGTCTAAATTAATCGCGTACGTCCGGCGCACCCTCCGCGGACACCTTGACATTGACGACGAGTATGCTTGGACGGATTCCGAGGTCGCCCGGGCCTGGATCCGCTCAGCACCACAACGGTGGAAGACCTTCGTTAGAAATCGCGTTGCCCTCATTCAGGACAACGTGCCGGTATCAGCTTGGGGTCACGTCGACACGGAGTCCAATCCGGCGGATCACTGCTCCCGTGGGCTTTATCCTCGCGATCTGGTGGCCAATTCGATGTGGTGGGCGGGCCCTGAGTGGCTTGTTCGCTTCGAACCCCGAGTTGAGCCTTCCCACGGTTCGGAAACCCCTCCGATCGGGGAGGAGAAAATCGTATCGCTCGTGGCGCTCGATCCGCCTGACGCGGTACATTCATTGCTCGAAAGATTCTCTTCAATCGAGAAAATTGGCCGAATTATAGCATACATTCTCAGGTTTGTACATCACTTCCGTGCAAAATCTGCTCCTACGACTTTGGCCATAGATCAGCTCGAACTGCATTCCGCGTTACTACTCGTTGTGAAAAGTGTACAGGCGGATGCTTTCCGCGATGAGATCGATCGTCTTCAAAGCGGGAGAAGGCTCCCCAAGCCCTTTCGCAAACTCGCTCCCTTCCTTGATCCGGTGGGTATTCTCAGGGTGGGCGGCAGGCTTGCAAAATCCGGATTGACATTCGAGAACAAGCACCCTGCCTTACTGCCCTGTAAACATAGGCTCACGGATCTCGTTATCGAGCACGTGCACCGCACGAACATGCACCCTGGTCGGCGCACGCTGCAATACCTGCTCACGCAACATTATTGGGTCCTCGGGGTGCATCGCGCTATACAACGCGTACTCTCGAGATGTCATCAATGTTTCCGCGTAAATCCACACACCTCTCAGCCCCTCATGGCGGAACTACCGGCCGATAGGGTCCGACGGGCCAAGCCATTTTCGATCAGCGGCGTTGATTTCGCGGGACCGTTCAACATAGTTACGCGACGAGCCCGGGGGGTCTCCTCCGTCAAAGTGTACGCGTGCCTTTTCGTATGCTTTTCGGTTAAGGCGGTGCACCTGGAAGCCGCCTTCTCGTTGTCCACCGACTCCTTCCTCGCTGCGCTGCGACGCTTTGTGGCCCGACGCGGACGCTGCTCGCTTCTCTACAGCGACTGCGGAACGAATTTTGTAGGGGCCGCACGGGAACTAGAAAGCCGCATGAGCCTCGCAGCGGAGCGAGAGAAGATCAAGTGGTCTTTTAATCCTCCCTCCGCGCCCCACTCGGGGGCCTCTGGGAGGCGGGAGTCAAGACCTTTAAAACCCACCTGCGGCGGACCGTGGGTGATCAAGTCCTCTCAATAGAGGAATTCACGACGGTCCTCGCGCAGGTCGAGGCCGTCTTGAATTCCAGACCCCTCTGCCCGATGAGCACCGACCCTGCCGACCTCGAAGTCCTATCGCCGGGTCACTTCCTCACGATGGAACCGCTCGTCTCCGTTCCCACTCAAGACGTGACCCCGTTACCGATGAATTGGCTGAGTCGGTGGCAACTCGTCCAACGAATACACCAGGACTTCTGGAAGCGCTGGCATCAGGAGTATCTCCATACGCTGCAACAGCGTCCCAAATGGTGGACCTCAGTCAACCCGCTCGGTGTCGGTGCGTTAGTCCTCCTCAAGGACGCCAACATGCCTCCTCTGCGTTGGAAGCGAGGACGAGTGGAGGCGCTGCATCCGGGCAGCGACAGCGTCCCGCGTGTCGCCACGGTGCGGGTGGCGGACGGCACGATCACGCGTCCCCTAGTGAAGCTGTGCCCCCTGCCGATGGGCCCTGCTCCACAGGCGACCGATTCAAATTGACAGTAAAATACAACTCGTTGTATTTTGGTGGGCGGTATGTTTGGCGCTCACCAAACTGTAGATAGATGCATGTATCATACTTAA